TCCACCAGAGGGACGGACTAACCGCGAGTTATGGTTCTGCCAAGTTGAAGGCCAATTCGCGCTTAATGGTATCAAACAGGACAGCACGAAATTCTTTTACGTAATGTCCCAGCTAGACAATAGATACGCACAAGAAGTGGAAGATATAATTACCAATCCACCGATTGAAGGGAAGTATGACGTATTAAAAAAGAAGTTAATACGGCGGCTGTCAGTTTCACAAGAACAAAGGATACAGCAGTTCCTGGAACACGAGGAGGTAGGAGACCGGACACCTACGAAATTTGGCAGGTAAAACAACTTCCTCCGAACTTTACGACTAAATACGCTAACGATGTCAATGCGAGCTATCCTGGCAAAGCAGAGCGACACGCCGTTAAACAATAATCTCGATAGCCATTGTGAAATATGTGCAGTAATGTCTCTCCAATTGGCCACCAGCAAGGAACCTAAACAGGCCTGTTGTAGAATCAGGGACTACGTTTTCGAGTCTCGCGCCCGCCTTTGCAGTTTGCCGAACGAAGACAAGGACAGCGAATAAAAGATAAGGATGAAACGTGAGTCGAGGCAACCAAGCGATTTAAACACCAACTGTTTTGATTTAACGTTTTTTTAACCCAAAATTTTTCTCATGCGTATGTACATACACACATAATTACGCCCTCTCTCTAAATAATTAATACATATTTACATACATCCACACTTTATTATGTCTTTACTATATCTATTAAATATAAGACACCTAAAAAACATTACATATAAGGATTTACAAAACATTATGGAAAATTCTAAGATGATACATAATTAAAAAATATAGGAGCAATTATAAGAAATTAAATAAATTACAGGATATTACAAAGTTATACAAAATTAAAAAATTACAAAAGGTCAAAAAATTCAAAAGAATTACTAAAATTAATGAAACTAACAAAAAATTACAAAACAACAACTTGCACCTATTTATAATTATACAGAATGTTAACGGATTTACTAGTCAGCATAGAATAGGATTTAAATTCTATTTAAAAAATTGAATGTCATCTTCATTTCCCAAAAAGTAATACAAACACAAAAAGTTCACATACGTTGTTATACAATTTGCAAAAAATAGTATCACTTTTTTCTCTTTAATTTTTTTCACATACTCATCAAAAACGCTGACTAGTAATTCCGTAAAATTTTTAACGTATTAGTAAATTATAATTGTTCGCAAACTGCTTGCGAACTGCTTGTGAAGAGTCCTGAGTAGTGTAAACGTTAGTATAACAACTCCTATGTGTATTCTTATGTGTCCATTAAACTCGTCAAAGGTCAAAAATCGTTTCTTCCTATCCAATAATTGATCAAAGGCAATGCCGCTACGAACAGCTATCGCGTAGAAGAATGTCCCATTCGAGAATAACCGGATAGGTTCAGTTCTAGTTCTGGATAACAGATCCCTTTTAGCACAGCTGTGAGACCCTTACAAAAATGGTGTTACATTCTGTAGATATAAACAGGAAAATGTACGTAGAAAAACGTAGCGGACAAAGGAAGATTCACA